AGGCCCTAGAGAATAAAACCATGGGCATTGCATATTTTTATGTGTCACGGTGTTTGTGCAGTGGTTTTTCAAATGCAAATTTTTTAACCACTTGCTGACTGCAGATAGATGAATGATGGCTACACTGCGGCCGGCCAGTTCTGGGAGGACATCATATGATGTCCTCCCAGAATGCGCGTTCTCCGTGATCGCTGTGTCCTATCACAGAGGCCTTTTACCACGTGATCAGCTGTATCCAATGACACAGCAGATCACTGTTAAATGCAGTTGCCGGTTCTCAACTGCACTTTCCTCACGCTGTCACAGGGGGTGGGGGAGGGGCATCAATTGTGGGTGTGGCTTGTAGATAAAATATGCCATGACAAAAAGTGGGTGTGACTTAAATTACTCTGAATGTTGGGCGTGGCTTAAAGGGGGTGTGGTTAAATAGAGTCTGAGATTTTTCTTTGGCTCCCCCATACAATTTTGCTCTCCACCCCAACAGCCTTAAAAAATAAACACGCACATAGACTTATCTAAAAATAAAACTTTAACTGGTTGCCGTCCAGCCGCAGTATTTATACTGCGGCAGGGCGGCACCGCTGCGCAGAATCACGTTTTTAAACGTCATTTTGCAAAACGGGGAGCGCACAAGGTATGCGACCGCCCTACACGCGCCACCGATCGCGGCCGCGGGTGTCAATCACCGGGTCCCGGCTGGACATTACGCGCCGGGTCCCAGCGATTACTGGGATCGCTGACAGGGAGCACGGCTGCAGTGTTTACACTGCAGCTCTGCTCCCTGTCATTTCCGAGCACACTGATCCCAAGAGAGGAGTTTGTCTCTCGGGATCAGTGTGTTCCTGTGAAGCACACACCCCTGCCCCCTAGTAAAACACTCCCCTCACACAGTTAACCCTTTCATTACCTAATAAAAGTTAACCCCTTCCTCCCCAGTGCCATTAGTACAGTGTCAGTTGGTTTTTTTTTTTGCACTGATCACTGTATTGGTGTCACTGGGGATGTCAGTGACCCCAAGTCAGTTCCCCCCCAGTGTCAGAATGTCCGCCGCAGTCCCACCATAGATTGCTCATCGCCACCATAAGCCACTGATCGCCGCCATAAGTCGCTGATCGCCGCCATTATTAGTATAAAAAAAATTAAACATCCAGTATCTATACCGCCATTTGTAAACACTATAACTTTCACGTAAACCAATTAATTTACACGTATTGGGATTTTTTTTTTAGCAAAGACATGTCGCAGAATACATTTTGGCCGAAATTTATGACGAATTTTGGTTTTTCAATTTTTTTCCTTGACATGCTTTATAGCAAAAAGTCCAAAATATTTTTTTTTTTACTCAAAATTGTCAGCTTTTTTTTTTTTTATAGCGCAAAAAAAAAAAACCGCACAGGTGATCAAATACCACCGAAAGAAAGCTCAATTTGTGGGAAAAAAAGACATAAATTTAATTTGGGTGCAGTGTTGCATGACCGCGCAATTGTAAGTTAAAGTAACGCCGCGACGTAACACAAACCGCTTCTGTAACCGCTTCCTGACTGCCCTATAGCAGAAATACTGCTACAGGGCGGCATGGGTGCACAAAATTGCATATACATATATATATATATACGTGATTCACGCTCCCGTGGTGTTCACACCCCTCCCAGATAGCGTCAGATTGCCCGTCAGTACACCAGTCATCACATTTAACCCCTTGATTGCCAGGAGCACGCTCATGCACAATAAACCTCCATTGCTAGTATAGTGTCTGAACGGATCAATATCTTTGATCAGATCAGCATTATACCAGCGTTTACATTAGTATAGTGTCCCCAAAAACGCAGCGTTAGTGGGATCAGCCCCGGCACCTGCCAGCACCTGCGTTTAGCCCCTACGCTTACTCCCCCCCCTCTTCTCCCCCAGCAAGTGCAGCGTCAGTAGGTCACTGTCACTTGATTACACACAAAACCGCAGTGTTGGCAGAATCAGGCCTGATCTCTGTTAGCACTTGTCAGTAAATTTTGATGACTCTCATATGCAGCAGGGTGCCAGTACTAGTGCCACGCTACCTTTTGGTGAACTGGCAAGTACTAGTGGCCTAGTACATCCAGGTCTTTCACATATCTCTTAGATTGTAAGCTCCCAGGATCAGGCCCTCCTAACCCTCTTGTATTGAACTGTATTGTTCTGTATTGTCTCCCGTTATATTGTAGCGCTGAGCAAACTGTTGGCGCCATAAATACTGTATAATAATAATAATAATACCAGCACTGCAGTATGACTTGGTGACGTGGCGAGTCCCATAAGTGCAGTACAAGCTGGTGCGGTGGTGAGCACAAGTATTGTCCCGCAACCACCAAGAAGTCGCACACAGGCCCGTAGAGCTCCTAGTATCCTTCCGGATGTGCTTGCAAATCCCGATTGACAGCCCACAAATTCTGCAGCACCCGTACTTCCCCCATTCACTGCTCAACCCGGAATTCAGGTGGAAATAGCAAATTTAACTACTCCCCTTTATTTTTGGAGCTGTTTTTCATGGGATATCTGTATGCGTTGATTGTGGATCAAAGCAATTTATATGCACAACAATTTATCGCCGCCAACCCAAATTCAAACCTTGCCAGACCAGTCGCATGGAAACTCATTACGGGTTTCGAATTTACTTTTTTTTGGGGCATAACCCTCAACATGGGCATTACTAAAAAAATTAATTGCGGTTGTATTGGTCCGCAGACCCGTTTCATCTTATGCCTGTGTTCTCTGCTGCTATGGCCAGGCAAAGATATGAGAGTATAATGTGTTTTATGCATTTCAATGACAATACACTCAGTCATCCTCGGGGTAACACTGAATTTGACCGGCTCCACAAAATTCAGCCCCTCGCAAATCACCTTAACCTAAAATTTGCAGATGTCTATACTCCCCAGCAAAACATCTGCATTGATGAGTCCCTCATTAATTTTCTGGCCGCTTTGCAATCAAACAATTTTCTCCCCAGCAAGCGTGCCAGATATGGGGTCAAGATGTAGAAGACCTGTGAGAGGGCAACAGGCTATACTTATAAGTTTTGGATTTACGAGGGAAAAGATAGTCACGAGGAGTCCCCCGGATGCCCAGACTACATGGGGAGCAGTGACAAGATAGTTTGGGACTTGGTATCATCCTTGTTCGATATGGGGTACCAATTATACGTGTACAATTTTTATTCAAGCGTGCAACTATTTAAACATTTGTTAAGTCTTGGAACTGGCACTTGTGGCAAAATGTGACCTAATGTGTGCCCACCATTAGAAGTGGGTGGATGCAGGGCGGTATATTCTAATGGTGGGAATACCACACACTTTTTTGGCAGAGATTTCTTCTCTTTTTTTCATTCAGCCCACAGGCTGCATACAAAAAAAAAAGAACACAGCATATATAACCAACAAGGATCAGCGATGTACTGGTACATCAGTGGACTTTGAATGGTTATATCAGGATGATGCCTACAGCTGCAGGCATCATCCTGGTATCATTTTTTTCAGCTGACGATCAGCTTTCATGTAAAAGCAATCCTAGTGGCTAATTAGCTGCAGGAGTCGTTTTACAAGCAGCGGGTGATGATGCCCCCCCCCCTCCCTGGCAGTCTAGCCAAGTACAGGACCCCAAAATCCAATAAGCACTTTCAGGATTTTAAAGGGCTTTATTTCCTCATTACACTTCCTGACTACCTATCACAGTTTCAGAGGCCCTGTAATGCCAGGATAGCACCTAACCCCCCCCAAATGACCCCTTTTTGGAAAGTAGACGCCCCAAGGAATTTGATAAAAAGCACGGTAAGAATTTTGCAGATCTCATTTGTTGCCACAAGTTTTTGGAAAATGAAGAAAAAAAACAAAAAACATATTTTTTCTATTTTTTTTTATATTTCAAAAACCTCGTGAGAAAAAAAGAGATCTGCAAAATACTCACCATGCCTCTTTTTAAATTCCTTGGGGTGTCTACTTTCCAGAAATGGGTCATTTGGGGGGGTTTGGTGCTATTCTGGCATGTCAGGACCTTCGAAACTGTGATAGGTAGTGAGGAAGTGTAATGAGGAAGTTACGCACCTTCAGGCTTTCAAAGTGGTCATTGGATTTCAGGCTCCTGTATGTGGCTAGGCTCCCAGAAAGTCTCACACACATGGTATCCCCATACTCAGTAGAAGTAGCAGAATGTATTTTGGGGTGTAATTCCACATTTACCCATGGCTTGTGCGAGAAATAAAACATTTAAATGACAACTTTGTGTAAAAAAAAAAAAAAAAAATGTTTTTGTCATTTTCCAGAAACTTGTGGAAAAAAAATAAATCTTCCATGGACTCAATATGCCTCTCAGCAGTTAGCTTAGGGTATCTACATTCCGAAAAGGGTTAATTTGAGGGTGTTTGTACTATCCTGATATTTTAGCACCTCAAGAAATGTGATGGGCAGTCAGAAAGTAAAAGCTGTGTAAATTCCATTATCTATACCATAGTTTGTAGACGCTATAACTTTCACACAAAGAAATAAATATACACTTACTGGGATTTTTTTTACCAAAAACATGGAGCAGAATACATTTTGGCCTAAATTTATAACTAACTTTGAGTTTACTATATATTTTTTATAGCTGAAAGTAAAAAATATTGTTTTTTCTTCAAAATTTTATTGTCAGTCTTTTTTTGTTTATAGCATGAAAAATAAAAAGCGCACAGGTTATCAAATACCACCGAAAGAAAGCTCTATTTGTGTGAAAAAAAGTACGTAAATTTTGTTTGGGTGCAGCATTCCATGACCGCGCAATTATCAGTCGAATTAGTGCAGCACCGAGTAGCAAAAAAGAGGCCTGGTCAGGAAGGGGGGTAAATCCTCGGGAGGGCAAGTGGTTAATAATATAAACTTTAATAATATAAACATAAAGAACTGGTCCACATTCAGTGATTGGTTGCTAGAAGTTACAGCACATTACTTCTCACTGATTGGTGGATAGAGGTTACTTCCGTTAGTACAGGGGAGGGTCAGAGACTGCAGGTGTAGTACAGGAGATGGTCAGAGACTGCAGACATAGTACAGAAGATGGTCAGAGACTGCAGACATGACACAAGGGATGGTCAGAGACTGCAGACATGGCACAAGGGATGGTCAGAGACTGCGGACATGGCACAAGGGATGGTTAGAGACTGCGGACATGGCACAAGGGATGGTCAGAGACTGCGGACATGGTACAGGAGACGGTCAGAGACTGCAGAGATGGTACAGGAGACAGTTAGAGACTGCAGACATGGTAAAGGAGATGGTCAGAGACTGCAGACATAGTACAGGAGATGGTTAGAGACTGCAGACATAGTACAGGAGATGGTCAGAGACTTCAGACATAGTACAGGAAATAGTCAGAGACTGCAGCTATGGCATAAGGGATGGTCAGAGTACAGTATGCTCCACCATAAATATTACAGTATGCTCCACCATAAATATTACAGTGTGTTCCACCATAAATATCACAGTATGCTCCACCATCAATATTACGCATGCTCCACCATAAATATCACAGTATGCTCCACCATAAATATTACAGTATGCTCCACCATAAATATCACAGTATGCACCACCATCAATATTACATATGTCGGTAATCAGCGACTTATAGCGGGACTGCAGCGGACATTCTGACGCTGGGAGGAACTGACTTGGTGTCACTGGCATCCCCAGTGACACCAGTACAGTTATCAGTGCTAAAAAAAGGACAGGGCAGGAAGAGGTTAACATGAGGGGCGATCAAAGGGTTAACTGTGTGCAGGGAGTGTTTTACTGGGGGGGGCGGTGTCAGTGTGCTTCACATCTGACACAGATGTCTATGCAAATCACAACAAAAGTAGTGCATGCACTACTTTAGAAATCGGTGGGGCTCCAACCAAGTCGGAACTGCACCGATATGACCGCTCTAATACGGACAATAGGGTGCGATTTGGCATACGATTTGCAAGTCGCCTGGCATGCAAATCGCATGCCAAATCACATCCGATGTGACCGGGGTGTAAAGATGAACTTCTATAGTTGCAAACTACACAGCAATGATCAACTGTTGAGTTAGGAAAGCCTGGAAAGTTGGAGATCTTTTGCTGCTGGAAAGAAAAAACTGCTCCTTTCTCCAGACTGAATGAAGACTGATTCTGAATAGGAAGGTAAAAAAACTTCTTATTGCAGCTTCCTCCCTTATACTCACTTGAGCCTGATCTCGATTCAACAATGTGCAGGAGAGCCAAGGCTCTCCTGGCTCTTTCCCTCCTCATTGGCTCAGACACATCAGAGGGAGCTTTTAACTTCTGCTAAGAAGCAAGCCTGCACAAGTTACCCCAGAGCAAGCAGCTTGCTATGGTGAGCACTCTGTGGGGGAGGGGCCAGGACCACCGGTGGGGGACCCAAAAAGAGGAGGATTTTGGCTGCTTCATTGCACAGATCATGTAAGTATAACATTTTTATAAAAAGAAAAACAAGGAAACCTTTAGAATCAGTTAAGGTAAAAAAATACCTTCTGTGTGTAGCTCCCCAGCCCCCCTAATACTTACCTGAACCCACTCTCAATCCAGTTAAAAACCCCCGAGAACAGCGACTATGTCCACTCTCTTTTCTCATGGGACATGGAGGCAGCAGTGGGAGCCCTTGACTCTTACTACTGCTGATGTGCCTTGTTCGTGTATTTTTCCCTCAGAGGGGTGGTAGTATGTGGTTACTGTGTTTACCATTGCAGTGTGCTGTTGCGGTGTGGCTATGTTGGTTGGCTCCGTGCAGATGGTGGGTGGAAGTGACGTTCTACATCTGCACTGCGTCATGACATCACCGGCGGGAAGGACTCACATATAAATGAGCTGATTTGGCTCCAAAGTTTTGTTGGCTGATGGGGAGGTGGTGTCTGTGGTGCTGGTGCAACATTGGTGAGACTTTATAGATACATTTTGGAGCTTGCGGCTGATGTTTAGTACTTCTGGCCTCCCAATATTTATTACTAATCTTTTGTTATCTTTATCCAATACCATGCATTTCCTTGTTTGAGGATTGGTCTTTTGTCTGATGAACATCTGGTTGTTGCCACCTTCTTCTTAGTGATACAAATTGTTTTGACAGAGGTAAGTTTAAAATCTACATTATACACACACATGGTGTGCACTATGCCAACTGTAGTGATAGTGGCCTCTTTTTATTGTACTCTACTTTTATATTCCAGTACCCAACTTATCTGCTGAGTATACAAATAGTGGTGTTTCTCCTATTCCTTAAAGGTATATGTCTTTTTATTTAACCTATTGAGTAATTTATTTTCTTTTTGGAAATTTTCAGTGGCTGTTGATGCTTTTCTACTCTTATATTTAGCTTTTGTGCCCCTCTGCCAACCATCTGTAGTGCCATTTTGTCCGGGCCTCTTTGAGGATTTTGTGTTCCATCAAATTGCACTATAATGATTCTGCATACTACTCGTCCATTTGAGCCTTTATGAACTATTTGGTAAGCTGCCCCTCATCAACTTTTTAAATATTTGTATGATGTATATCACATATGATTTGTAGTGATTTAAATTTACTATATTTTTTGGCATCTGTATTCAGGATATCTAATTTGTTGGTATATTGTGTAATCAACATGAATTTGTTGTTATAGGTGTTATATTAAATATCTCCTGAAGAAGCCTAAAATAGGCGAAACATGTTGAGAAATATTGCACCGGATATATGTCTCTGAATAAGTATTTCCATTAATGTTGGTATACACAAATGTATTTTTTTTAAACTGATTTTTTACTGATTTAACAATAAATATTGTAAGTTTTAGCTTATATTGTTGTCCTATTATTTATGGAACCTTCAACATCCCGCTTACTCTTTTTTCATGTGAGTTCATTCTCCTCCTCTTTTCCTGTTCTTTGTATCCCCTCTTCTCTTCTTTTGGTAATAGACTCTTACTACTGTCAATCACAGCCAGTAAGCAGAAAGCAGGGTACAGGGTATGGGGGAACTCGGCAGGGCAGAGGACCCCAGAAGAGGAGGATCAGGGCTGCTCTGTGCAAAACCATTGCACAGAGCAGGTAAGCATGACATGTTTGTTATTTAAAAAAATATGTTTACATCACTTTAAATTCACTTATTCACTTTTCTAGCAGACGCAACTGCTTGGAGCACTGTATAAACTGTACAGGGACTTCCCGTCCCATTCCTGGAACAAAATCAAGTGGGGCTGAGCACTGCTCAGCCATTCATAGGAAGCCTTGTATTTTTATGAATGAATTAAAGACTTCTTGGCTGAAGTGGAGAGGTGGGAGAATGATGAGTCGCGCTCAGCGTGACTCGATTTTTTTTTTGGGAACAGGACAGAAAGTCCACTTCCCCCAGTTCTTTTGTTGCATTTTATCTCTCTCTCTCTCTTCTTGCATAGAGGGGGGGGGGGGAAAGAAACCTGTTTGTTAAAAAAAAAGATAAATAAATAACTATTAAAAAATAAAAGAAAAAATAAAGAAAAAAAATACCTAGATCAAGGATTGATCTAGTTCAGTGCCAGGGTTAGTGTTTGGGTTAAGGTCAGGGTCAAAGGGCAGGTTTTTTTTTCAATTGGTATCAGTGTCAGTTAGTGTCAGTGTGTTTTAGGTAAATAAAAACAAAAAACAAAATGCACACTATTGTTTCTGGGCTGTTTTGTGAGTACAAACAACAAATAACATACACATATATGGTATCGCTGTGATCGTCAAGAGCAGGAACATTTATTATGGGTTGTTCTTTGATAGTAGGTTATGGTAGTAACAAGAAACACACAGTAAATAAAAACAAAAAAGATACAATTATTTTTTGGGGGGGCAGTTTTCCTTTGATAATACGAAAAAAATCAGGAGATATCCATTACCATTTACCACCAAATGAAAGCCTAATTTGTCCTGAAAAAAACAAGGTATAATTCACCTGGATGTACAAAGTAGTTGTGATGATATGTACGGTTTTACTAACACATGTCAAAGTTGCAAAATTGTGCTTGGGCATTAAGATTTGTTTTACCCTTAGGTGTGAAGGGGTTAAGAAAGGTCAGGTATGCATAAGGTAAAGAGTAGATATTCTGTATGTGAAGGTGGTATTTTTTTGTTTTTTCTTCAAACAGTATTTACAGATTTACATTTGTAACTATTTCTTTTAATTTTCCCTTAATTAAAATACAAATTAAAAAAAAAAAACAAAAGAGAATATTTTAGAACAAAAGCATATTTTTAAAGGGAAGCCTTGCTGCAAAAAGAAATTAACCTGAAATAAAGAATAATGCAAAAATGTTTAAAAATATTTGGGGGGAAGCAGCAATTTTAATAATGTTTAAGGTGGAATATCACAAATGTCCAATTTCTAATAAGCATGCCTGTGGGTTGCCCTAAACCTGTTTGTGAATTGGCAAACATGTGCAATGAAAGCAATGTGCAACAGCAAAACTGACATTTACAAAGAAAAAAAGGTGTTTGTTTTTTTCATAAATTACATTTTCCTGTCATCCTTCTTTTTTACAAAAAACAGCATGGCAATGCCCTCCCAACATACATTGCAGACCCAAAAGGTATATACGGTATGTATGTTTGGAGGGGGGCACCATGTCATTTTTACACCAGACCCTTTGGTAACAATAAATGAACACACCACTCACTTGACAAGCCTTTTATAAGATAAAAAACTGTCCAATGATGTAGTTGCATCGCAAATCACATTGTCCAGTGATGCAGATCCTCGTTAACAATGAATGGTGTTGTGCATTAGTTGGCCAGGTCTAAAAACCACAAACAGTTGTTCTCCTCTAACATACAGTATGTTAATTCTCAACCCAAATCTCATCGGGCTGGAGAGTTGGGCTGGCCATACATTATACAATTTTTCTTGAGATTTTTGCTTTAGATTTACCAAAAACCATATGATATAAGGTCAAACCTAAACAACACTTTCAATTCTATCTAATTAGGCAGGCCCTTGCACTACATAGTGGAAGGTAAATCTAAAGGAAATTGGGCAGAAATTGGGCAGAAAACTGAAAGAAAATTGTATAGTGTATGGCCAGCCTTGGAGAGTGCAAAATCAGGCTCACTTCTGCATAGAAACCAGTCAGCCTCCAGGTTTTATTGCCAAAGCTTAATTGAACAAGCTGAGGTTAGAAGCTGGTTGGTTCTATGCAGAGTTGAGATCGATTTTGCACTATCCAGCTTTAGTAAATAAACCCCTCTGTCTTCAGTGCAGCTGAACCACTAAAGTTGTCACACAGACAGTTCAGTAGCCAAGGATTTTTGAAGCTGAGCGGACAGAGCCTGATGAGGATTTAGAGACACTAGTTCCCCATGAGGTCTTTGCCCGTTGTGATTGACAGTGTGCAGTGGATCGATTTAT